TAACTTACCATCACAAGATCTGTCCCTATATCACGCAAATGAACTTCATCAAGTACAACATGTGAAATACCTTGAAGCATAGGATTATCAGTAAATTTGTGGGCAAACTTCATTCCAGTCAAGAAAGTGATTGTGCCTCCAACTACGGAGGGTAGGATTGTTGCCATTTTAACACTATATCCAATAGACTGACCAACCTGAAAGCAAATACAATTAACATATTCCTGTTGTAGAGAGAAATTTGGACTATCAAAATGAAATGCAAATAAAGTATGCATACATTTTCCCCACGCTCCTTTGCAACATATTTTGCAGTTTCTACTGTAGTTAGTCTGCGGGGTTGAATGACAGCAATGTTGCAATATGCTCCTTTACCGGAGTCAAATGCTTCCTCTAATATAAATTGTGGTACCTTAGTTGTTTTCCCACAGCCAGTTTCACCCTTCAGAATTGTTACTCGGCTTTCGGCAATGGATTCCAAAATTTCTTTCCTAAAAACCCAAAAGGAGGGTACAAAAATTCATCCTTGGTAAAATTAAGAAAACTTGTTTTTCACATTGTATTTTTTTTAAATAAGAAATTTTAGGAACTTACCTATAGTTTTCAATTGGTAAAACTGGCCCTAACTGTTCTTTGTTTTTCTTATTACTAGTAACTGATGTCTGTAATACCTTATTCCATTCTTCCAATTCCTCAGAGGTAGGGAAAGGAATGCCTAAGGTTGGATGAATATGTTCATGCTGATGAGTGTCACCTAAAATTAAATTGTAGGTAATTTTCAGATCTGGACTAGCTTCATTAACTAATTCAAATATGATAGGCACACTATAATTTAAAATAGATTCAATTACTGTACCTACCCATACAGAATGTGTTGCATTCAAGTGCAGAGAGTATTGGAACAATCTCCTACATAAATAAACAAGTATTATTTTTGTGTCTAAGCATTTTCTTCCTCCCAATGGAAACATAGTTAAAAATGTAAAATTGAATGAACCTACTTTTGAATGAACCTTTAGAACTTCATCTATATCAGTCACAATAGATTTATCAAGGCACATAAACAGTTTATTTTTACTGTCTGCAAGATCTGTAAGATTTGGCTGGGCTGATTCATAAATAAAATTGTGAGAAAATAACCACAGTAAAGCTTGTAGACTTGCTTGAGTCCGGGCATTCTGAAAATATACAATACAGTACACGCTTAAGTCCAAAAGAAGAAAAAGTATTGTAAGTCACCTAGTAAATAATAAGCATTTACCACTTTTCTTTTTCCTAATGCAGAAAACTTAAGAGGTTGTGGCCAAGTAAGTTCTAACTCACAAACATAGCCAGTTTTACTTTTCTTTAAATGTTCTTTCAGTATAGATGAAACACCAAGTTTTGAAGACAGTCGTTGATTCAAACTGTTCATTGCTGACAGTGGAAGAGGAAAAATCTCCGACGCTTTAGAAGTGGTATCTTGAGTTGTGAGTAAACTGCTAGACGTTGAATATGATTGGAGCCCATCATGCTGAGTCGTATACAATTTCTTAACTGAATTAAAGCTGACTAAAAAGCTTGGTTGAGTATCACTTCCAATATTCAGTTGACACGGTCGAAAACCTGTAAAGTTGTTTAACATTTAAGAGAAACATAACCTTACGCCTTAATAAAAACATCAACATTCTCAAAAAGGTAGTCATACAATGCCTGTGGAGCCGCAAACTTGTTTGCGACAATATGGAGCATTTCACCAGTGAATTTCTACGACTGACGGAGGATACAAGCACAGAAAACATAGTTTTTTTGGTAAATTATTTTCACGCACATTCTAGCAGAAGCTTACACGAGGTTCAGTTACGTTCAGTTTCTCATATCTTCATCAGTTTCAAAGAGCGTAAACATTCCCTCAAAAACAACTAATATTCTATGAATGAAGGTTTTTATTATTTTTCGTATTATTTTCACTCCTGATAGAAATTTTTATCTTTTCGTTATTGTGTGTGTTTTCTCCGTTTCAACGTTTAATGTAATTTTTCGATGTACTTACATACTTTCATGTGGTGGTGCTCCTGCAAGTACGGCCAACTGTTTGTTTGTGATTGGTCGACGAAGAAGACGTCTGAAGCTTGTGGGTCGTCTGATGTGTGGCCGGCTCTTTCGGCTGTCGTTCAAAAAAGGTATGTTTTCAGAATACTGTTTATTTTCGCTTCATTTTTTCTGCTTGTAAGTCTTAAAACTTAATACATTTGATCTGAACCGCAAATTTTGAGTTATTGATCTCCATGGCAACGTAACCTCATGACTTGCAGAGTTCCTCTCGTCGGTTCGCTCACAGTTGAATTTTATGGGAAGATAAATATTTGGAAGTCATTTGTGCTGCCGCTCGCTTGGTAGTTCAAAGTTTCCTGTTCATGAGTCATTCTTTACTTCCAGTTTGCTTCCTTATAAGTTATTTCCTGAATCAGTCTTTGTGAGGTAGTTGTGGTTGGTTTAGTGGAGGTGGAGGTATGCTTTATTAGATTAGCACTTTGTTGAAAATTACATTACTCTCAATTGGATGTTCCGCTGTTCGGCCTTTTTTCCTTACTCATCATTTCTTCTAGTTATAAGAAAGTGATCAGTCTTTGCTATGAATATTTCTAATAAATTTCTACCCTCAGTTTAATGGGTATCATCCCATTAACATCTGAAGCATTTCGGTTCTACACTGTAAAAGAACAATTTAAATTGTTTCAGAAAAGATTTCTTGGTTTATTACTTTTAAATTTATCTCAAAGCTAAAATATGTCAAGATAATATAGGTTACTAAATTGTTATTCATTATCATTCACATATCAGCAAATTTGATCCAACAAAATATAAACATTTAAATGTTTTAATTTGCAGAGGTCCTGGATATCTAGATTGGAGAACATGATGGGTCGGTACAGGCTCTTGAGCCTGCTTGTAATAGGAGTTGTGCTGCTGTCTCCTTGCTCTCAAGCAGCAGAGAAAGAAGATGATGGGGTTTGTTACGCTTTTTCTACTTAGTATAGTTTAGTCTATCAGCATTCTACTTTCATTGATTTCCAGAAAGAGTAATTATCTATCTTCTATCTTTCTTAGGAGGTAACAGTCGAAGTAGAAGATCCTTCGGATTACACCAGCCCTCAACCCAACGGTCACTACCATTTTGCTGAGAATTTTGATGACATACAAGCATTTAAGAAAAATTGGGTTTTGTCAGAAGCTAAGAAAGAAGGTATTGATGAAGATATTGCTAAGTATGATGGTAAGTTTGATCAATCTTGGTTTTTGCTAGATTTTGATGAAAGTTTCTTCATTTTAATTAAAATGGTTTCTAATTATCAGGTGTGTGGGAAATTGAGCCTCCAGTTAGGGATGGGCTTGGAGGAGACTTAGGCTTAGTCTTAAAGTCAAAGGCTAAACATGCTGCCATCTCATCAAGATTGAAGAAGACTTTCCATTTCCACGACAAGCCATTGGTTGTGCAATATGAAGTTCTTCTCCAAGAGGGTCAGGAATGTGGAGGTTCTTACCTTAAACTTATCGCAGTTGATTCAACTACCAATGACTTGCGTAATTTCCATGATAAAACCCCCTACTCCATCATGTTTGGTCCTGACAAATGTGGAAATGACCACAAGGTTTGTAGACTTAGTTACACTGTCCTTTTCTTAGCTCCTGAATGTTTTATTAATTCAGTTAATGTCTTACTCCTTAGCTGCATTTTATCTTCCGACACAAGAATCCCAAGAATGGTACTTTTGAAGAAAAGCATTGTTCAAAACCCAAGGAAAGGCTGGAAGAACCATTCAAAGATAAGCAGCCCCATCTGTACACATTGATAATCCGCCCTGACAATACTTTCCAGATTAGTGTTGATCACAAAGTAAGTCAGAAATTTTTTCTGTGTTATTTTGGGATCATATAGTTACAAGACAAAGAGATTATGAAGTGTAGGTTACTGGTTATATATATATTTAACTGATTCAACAACATGTTTTATAGATTGTGAAAGAAGGCAGTTTGCTGGAAGATTTTACTCCAGCTGTCAATCCTCCAGCTGAAATTGATGATCCCAATGACAAAAAGCCTGCTGATTGGGATGAAACTGAAAAGATCCCAGACCCAGACGCTCGCAAACCTGCTGACTGGGATGAAACAGCTCCTGCACAAATACCAGATCCAACCGCCACAAAACCAGAGGGTTGGCTGGACCATGAGCCAGACATGATTCCTGACCCAAATGCTGAAAAACCTGATGATTGGTAAGGAAAAGAAATCAAACGGAATTTCACCATTATGCTTCCAAAGTGCATGATGATTCATTGATTTTCTTATTTTTCAGGGATAATGAAATGGATGGTGATTGGGAAGCGCCTCTAATTCCTAACCCAGCTTGTGAGAAGGCTGCAGGTTGTGGAAAATGGTCGCCACCCTTGATAAATAACCCTGAGTACAAAGGAAAGTGGCGAGCACCGCTTGTCCCAAATCCTAATTATCAGGGCCGCTGGAAACCCCGACGCATTGCAAATCCTGATTTCTTTGAAGACAAATCACCTTTCAGAATGACATCAATTGTACGTTGGTTAGATTTGGACGTCAATGTTAATTTTGGAATGGTTTTCTTTTGTAATGAGTTGTCTTGTGTCTATCCTTGCAGTCTGCTGTTGGCTTTGAATTATGGTCTATGTCAAACATGATTCTATTTGACAACCTTCTCATTACTGATGATCCATCAGTAGCTGCTGCCTATGCTGCTGATTCGTTTGACTTAAAGAGGAAGAAGCTTGACCAAAGTGCTGTAAGTATCAGGCTTCTTGATGCATCAGCAGAGTATAGATCTTCCTTCTTAGTTATTATTGAGTATCACACCAACCAATTTAAAAACAAGTCACTTCAATTTTAATTTTTACTTGATACTGGAACTGTCTGTCTACGATTCAAGTTATGGGTTGACCAGATTTCTTTTGTGTGCTGGCTGCAGCAGATTAACTATGACTCTACTGTGTCTTTAGTCTAAAAGATGTTCTACCCAGACACATCCATCCATTCTATTTTCCCCGTCAACATTCTTTTTGAAAACAGAAAACTGTTTGGAGCCGTGTCATGAAGTCTATGAATTACAAACCTGGATGGTGGGCCTTATACTTCTTGTACATCTTGGTTCCTATCTCAGCTTATGTTTGGTATCTCTGCCGTCAAGTAAAGGAGGTATAAAATATAAATGAGCCTTTAGTAGTGTACCCTGGGTTTTGTGAGAATTGATGTGCTTTTCTCCTGTGGCACTTCACATTGATTATAGGCTCACCAATTTAGATACTGTTGTAGTCCTTTATCTTTCCTCTAAATATTACAATACGTATTTATGGTCTGTAGTGAAAACCTGTATTGTCTCCCAAAGACTATTATCTGTTTGAATATGTTTATCTTAGTTTTTATGTTGATTTTCACAGGAATCCCTTGTTACCCGCATCATAAACTACAGCAATGATAACCCCTGGTTATATGCCATCTATATTGTAGCTGTTGGCCTTCCCCTTGTTTTAATCGCCGTATTTTTCTGCGGTTCTTCTGTAAGTGTTTTGCTTTTTTCTCTTTCTAAGTACACCACTTATTCTTTTTCCTTTTATATACCTATCACTGTACAACATAAATTATTAGCATTCTGTCCTGTTTTAAAGGATTCAGAAAATAATATTAAGATGTAGTAATAATTCACTGCTAGCCTTTCAAATGTAATCTATGTAAAGCATGTAAATTGTCTATTTACCACTCAAGTATATTTCTAAAGTTTCTAAATATTTTTAGGAATCAGAAGAAATGAAGAAAGCAGCAAGAGCAAAGAAGACTGACATGGATCTTGCTGATGATGTGCAAGACATAAATGAACTGCAAGATGACTTGCAAGATGACCAGCAGCAGCTTGGTGATGAAGACGAAGAAGATGAGGAGGAGGAGGAGGAAGATGACGATGGTGATGATGAAAGTGAAACAGGTACATTTTCTAGCACAACAGAAAAAATTCTCATTTTGGTTGTTCTTTATCTCAATCTTTGATTATTTTGTTGTTGTTTTAATGATTAAAGGTACAGCTGCCACGTCGTCTGAAACTAGTAGAACATCTAAGACTCAATTGGATCTGCAGGAAAATGAGCCAGTAAGTGCTCAGTTAACATGTTGAGTCCCACATGACCACACATATGGCCACAATAGCATGTAAAATCGGCCCCCCTGGGACTCAACGTGTTAAGACCTTAAATTTTAGTGTATAGTTTTTTCAAGGCTTGTTTGTATAAATTAAAAATTTGTTTGTACAGGCTGCTGAAGGGTCTGGAGATGCTCCCCGTTCACCACGAAAGCGGCGCACACGCAAAGACTGAAATTATTATCCTCTCATCAATCATCACCATGGATGACGGTGATGGCATTCCTACATAGATTTGTTTTAATGCTCCTTTACCATTATGGGGAGATGTGATAAGTGCAGCTTATGTTTCAGACAAAGTTAAAAAGAAAGTTTTGAGTGGACTGATGATTATTCCTTTGTTCATATTGCAATGCAATTTATCAGTGCTTAATTTTTTTTGAGCACACTTCTTGGAATCCCAAAACTACATTATGCATTTGTGGCTCAAGGTTTTTGAGAATGTTAAAGGAAACATGAAAACCAAAAATGGTATTAGAGAATATTAGTATGAATGTTAATCATGTGTTCTTCTGATATTGTCTTGTCATAGTTATTGAAATACCTAAGTTTGTGTATTAGTTCCCTGTGTTAGGTTTAGTATATAATACTGCTACTGAGTTTTGAAATGAGAGATTTGCTGGCACTCTCACTAATTACTTCTACTTGAGCCTTGTACGTAACTGAACTGGTTATTTAATTTCCTAATTTTTAAATCATTTTTATCTTTGTCCTTATTATCTCTGAAGTACCTTGCAGTTTCCTAGTTAATGCATATATATAATTTGAAATATGACCACAGTTTATGATTTTTGATCATTCAAAATCACCGATTAGAATTACCTAACTACTAAAATACTCATAAGACCATATAACAAGACTGTACAATTTAGAAAAAAAGAAAAAGAAAAAAAAAACATTCACTTTCCTTTTTTAAAAAATAATTCATAACCTCACTTGACTGTTAAGTTTTGGATTTCCCCTACGAATTCGCAGATTTCAGTTTGTTAGTGTTTGCAAGGGTACAAAGATTTATAGTAGAAGTTAGGAAGCTGTTACTTTCAAATTTTTAATGTTTATTTTAAAATATGGAAAGTAGTTATTGTTGCTGATCGCTTACCATACCATGTTTGACCCAAAAATGTGCTCATTCAGTATTCACTCACTTCTGGTCCTGAATAACAGCTTACTTTTACACATCAATGCAAGTGTATTGTATTGTCCACTTATAATATCTTGGAAGTAAAATAATTCAATGAGCTGCCTAATAGTCCACATTTATAATTATAGCTGCTCAATCTTCGAACCGTGTGTTTCTGTTTGATGTTGTGAATCATAAATATGCATTTAGTAACAAATGTGTGCTTTAGTTTTAAAAAAATTTATATGCTTTTCAAGTTTGCTATTATTTAAGTCAACCTCAAGATGGTCTTGGGCCGAAGCTAAAAACTACCTTGTTAATATCTTGCTAGCCCACTTGCTTAAAACTGTTATTGAGAATATTCTGGAGAACAAGGCACTTACTTTACAGAGAAAGAACATAAATTGAGAAATTTCTGAACAGTTTGCGTAGCTCTTGCCTCTCTTTACCAAAAAGTATTCACTTCTCTGATTTAGTCCTGGTTCTCATTGATACTACAACAGCCCCATGTAGAATCTATCAGATAAAGCAGTTGTAAGGAGGTCAACTATGTAAGCCTGTTAGGCCGTCTTATGTTATACTTTGCAGATAATGAATTTTATATATATCATCTAAATATTTATCTTTCTATGGTTCTTTATACCTGTCGAAACTTTTTTAAAAAGAGAAATTCATGAAATTACAGTAATAGCTTTGCATACAATATGCCCTTCTTTTTAGTGTTCTACGCCGTTTGCTTCAGCTCTCATAATTTTGTTTTCTTTATTAAAAAAATGTGTATATCAATGAATTGCTCATTGAAAGCAGGCATGAGTGAACTGTCTTATGTTTTATGCTGAGATCTAGTCATGTTCATGTTATGATTGATAACATTTCTTACTCATGTCTGTTTCAGATCTTGCTATATAACTGGATGCCTGTGAATCTGGGTGTACAATAAATAAATTGATTTCTCTATAAATTCGACTCCCAATTAACCTTGAGACAAACTTTAATTTTCCTCGCGCTGTGGTCTGACGCCGACGCTACAGCGGAGCCGGCTGCTGCTGCTGCTGCTGCTGCTGCTGCTGCTGCTGCTGCTGCCGCTGCTGCCGCTGCTGCTGCCGCTGCTGCTTGATATCAGCGCTGTTAAGTGAGTGGGAGGTGGACGTGAGGTGCCACTGCCGGCCACTGCCATGCGCGGGGGCTGCACGGCTAGTGATGAGAGTCCTGGTGGTTTTGCTCCTCACCGCCATAGGCGAGGGGCACAAGGTGGCCACCACAGTAAAGGAGAAGAGCATCCCCTCTAGAGCCAAAGCGACAGCCAGGATAGCTGCGCGTGCGTTCGTCGATGAAACGGATATGAAAGCCACGACTTCGCAGGTAAAACCTGATCAGGTACAACAAATGGCAACAGAGAGTGACTTAATGTGACGAAGGCTCACTACGCCCGCAGATGCTGCTTGTCCAGCCCGTTGTACTCTCCATATTGCCGGTCGTCTTGCAAGGGGGTCACGCAGGACAGCTGGGGAACTTCAATACAAATTATGCCATACTAGGAAACCTACCGGAAAGCTGGTCGAACGGCGGGGGACAGCAAGGACCTGGTCCGGTAGGCAGTGGGCAAGCAGTGGGTAGCTCCAAGCAAGTACCTCCTAAAGCTGTGGAGGGGCTCATGGCGAGCGGTCAGACACAGTCCGGGTCGTCAGGGGGTGGACAGCCAGGTCAGGTAGGCAGTGGGCAAGCACGGGGTAGCTTCAAGCAAGTGTCTAAACCGGCGGAGGGACTCATGGCGAGCGGTCAGACACAGTCTGGGCCGTCAGTGGGTGGACTGCTGGCAGCTGGTCCTCCTGGAATCGGACCTACAGGGGGTAGCTTCCAGCAGGCCAGCAAAACTGAAAAATTGGCTACAGCAAGCGGCCAACCTCAGGCTGGTCTACCTGGTGGTAGAATATCAGCACTTGGCTCCCCTGGAATCGGACAAACTGGAGGCAGCTTCCAGCAGGTCAGCAAAGCTCAGCAAGAAACTATGGCAAGTGGCCACCCACAGACTGGTTTTCCCTGGGGTGGAATAATGGAAGCTGGCCCTGCTGAAATTGGACAGTTAACAGGAGGTAGCTTTGAGCGGGTCAGCCAAACTGAGAAATGGGTTGTAGAAAGTGGGCAACCACAGGCTGGCCAGCCTGGGGGTGGGGTCTTAGGACCTGCCCCCCTTGGCATTGGACAAATAACAGGAGATGGCTTCCAGCCGGTCAGCAAAGCTGAAATAGGAGGTATAACAAGTGGCCAATCACAGACTGTTCTTCCAGGGGGTGGATTTTTAGGGGCAGGTCCCCTTGGAATCAGACAAACAGGGGTCAACAAAGCAGAGCAAGGAATTATGGC